AAGAGGGTAGGGCTGGTTCATGGCTGGAGAGCACCAGGGCTGTAATAATATACGGTTGTATGCCGAAGGACACGACCTACTTATAAACACACGCAGAACATTCTAGCATGCTCTGGAAAAAAATTGTACTGGATATTCAAGAAATTCCGAGAACTTTCTTTCCAATCAGATATATTTTACATTTTATTGACTTCTGGCATATTTTTTCATTGATTGATTTTTAGCTTGGTGCTCAGTCAAGGGTCAACCAGTGGTTTCCTCCCATTCAGTACTTAGGTCAATGGCAGGGAAGGGAAGAACTCTGCAACGAAAATCTGTGACTGAAGCATATTTGAAGTAGGAACTGAAATTGCCTGTGTGATTTGCCACTCACTGGAGTATGGACTCACCGTGCAAGGGCAGGTGTGGCATCGTCTGTTTGGACAGCGACTGCCATAGGAATACCCCCACAATTGATATGTCCCAGTGCCTCATTGAAAGCTATGTTGTAAGAATAGTCCAGCCCCAGGCCACCATATTCTGTGGGAGTCAGATTCTCAATGACCACTGCTACTACCATCAGAATATTGAATAAACAGCAGAGGAATGATTCGAGAAAAGTTCTTAGAATATGTTCATCCAGGTTGAATCATCTGTAAGAACAGAATGCAATTCAAGAATGATCCAATACACTTTTTTCCTCCACTCAGGACCCAGGAATACTGCATAGTTAACATTTTGACTTCTCAGACAAAAATATGAGCATCAAAATCTTATGGTATTCCATGATAACTGCAGATAACTGCTTCTAGATGAAAACATGATAACTGCATCTAGACCAGGGATTCCTAACCTTTTTCTCCCTGCACCCCCAGGGGGTGCAGGCACCACTTGTTAGGAACCCGAAATCTAGACGGTTGATAATGTTAAAAGATGGGGATATTCTATTTTAACAGAGTGCAAATGCACCAGTTGGGAGAATGCCACCCAAAAGGAGTGTAAAATCAGAATCCATGGACACAAGGATTATGATGGCTGCTACGAAGGAAATTTGAATAGTTTCATTTATTGTAGTTTGTTGGAGTTACCATTAAGTTAGCATTAAGCTTGGCTTCTTACAGGAGAAAAACTGGAATGGGACTTTCACCTAACAGAGAATAAAATAAGCCCTTTCCTAAAATAAAAAAATGGATGAGACAGAAGAGGTTCCTTTTCGTGGAAACCCAAATGTCTACGGTTCCTCCGGACGTAAGGGGTAGTCAAACTTCTGTACCACTCGGCCTTTTAAGAAGAGAGAGAGGGTGAATAGGTGTACTCCTAACTAGAGACGTACTATCAGCTTAACAGAATAAGAAAAAAAAGAGACTTAACACTTGCAACAAGCTCAACATACACAAATAACATGATCAACTTATGATTCATGCAGTTTTGTCTTAGGAAGGAGTCTAGAGTTCACATTATGGCAGGCTAGAGTGAATGATCCCAGTGCTTGACATAATGAATGGTACAAAGAGGGGATATGTCCAAATGGGATAAATAAACAAAAGTAATGAAATAAGAAGCTATGATGGAGTCAAATGTATTGGAGAAGTTCAGGATAGGATGAAGTGGCATTTAAATGAGACCTTAATTTAGCAGTGTATGATGATGATGCTTATGATGATGCACAAGTTAGTCCAAAAGTCAAGAGGCTTATTAGAGATGACATTGTGGGCAGGTGAACAGATGCACATAAGCTGTTACTTCAGGGATGCATACAAATGATGATAAGGACAAAGTCACATGCTTTTGAATGAGGGCTATTGGGTCACTAAAGCAGTCCTTCAATACAACTGCCACCACTTTTGAAAAAGGGTCTCAATTTCAGGACATGACATTCACAGCAGCTACCAAGAGCACATCATCACAAGAAAAGGTATATGTGATCCAGATAGACATCGGAACTTCTATCGTCCCAGACGTACTAAGAGTGACGACTGTTGTCAACTTGGTTAGTAAGGAAGTATGGGGTAAGGCATACATATGTTCCGAGGTGGTCATGAGGGCCCACATCCCATACTGCATGACTTTTCCTACATCATCTGCTGTACACATATGTGAGGTTAGAGTTCTGTGCATCAATCTTTGCATCAAGTATTTGCCTAACCTGATTTCCCAAAAAGGTTTCCTGACTCAAGATCCATCCTGCATATACAACTTACAAATTAATGATTAATAAATTATGTAATTTTCTTTTTCTTTTCATACTGTATTTCTATTAGTTGGATTGTTTGGTTAACCCTCTTAGTGTCACATTGCGCCAAACTCTAGTGGTATGCCTTACACTGCCCTCTGCCAACCCAGTGAGGAACCAGCTGTGAGAAAATTTTGCAGCTGAAATTTTGGCCCATGGCACTAAGAGGGTTAATATTTTGCTGACTAAGATTTCTGGAGTTTCCTTGTAACAAGTACCTTGATGACAGATTCTTGAAGAGCCTTGTGCTCATCAGAGTAGAATCCATCTTGCAAGGATACAGCAGCTTGTTGCTGCTGCCACTGACCAGTCTTCAACTCCCTTTTGGCCACATTCCAAGCTGAGGGCACTAATCGCCTGCTCCCTCTTCCTAGCATTTTTTTTCCTACAAGGTATCTGGGTAAAAAACTGTTCCAAAGGTTGGGGCTGAAATGCCATCAGCATAAAAACAGTTACCTTGAAGAAAGGTATAAACCAATTCTGGCCTGAACTGATCCATATCAGGGAACACAGTTTCCTCAGNCAAGGATTATGATGGCTGCTATGAAGGAAATTTGAATAGTTTCATTTATTGTAGTTTGTTGGAGTTACCATTAAGTTAGCATTAAGCTTGGCTTCTTACAGGAGATAAACTGGAATGGGACGTTCACCTGACAGAGAATAAAATAAGCCCTTTCCTAAAATAAAAAATGGATGAGACAGAAGAACAAGGAAAAGCACCTTTGGGTTTACAGATGCCAAGGAGGCCTGCATTCCCCATCAGTTTGAAGACATGGTGAGCCGGAAAATTCTTCTCTCTCTCCCACTTATCCACATGAGGATTGATCTCTGCATCTATCAGCTTAACAGAATAAGAAAAAAAAGAGACTTAACACTTGCAACAAGCTCAACATACACAAATAACATGATCAACTTATGATTCATGCAGTTTTGTCTTAGGAAGGAGTCTAGAGTTCACATTATGGCAGGCTAGAGTGAATGATCCCAGTGCTTGACATAATGAATGGTACAAAGAGGGGATATGTCCAAATGGGATAAATAAACAAAAGTAATGAAATAAGAAGCTATGATGGAGTCAAATGTATTGGAGAAGTTCAGGATAGGATGAAGTGGCATTTAAATGAGACCTTAATTTAGCAGTGTATGATGATGATGCTTATGATGATGCACAAGTTAGTCCAAAAGTCAAGAGGCTTATTAGAGATGACATTGTGGGCAGGTGAACAGATGCACATAAGCTGTTACTTCAGGGATGCATACAAATGATGATAAGGACAAAGTCACATGCTTTTGAATGAGGGCTATTGGGTCACTAAAGCAGTCCTTCAATACAACTGCCACCACTTTTGAAAAAGGGTCTCAATTTCAGGACATGACATTCACAGCAGCTACCAAGAGCACATCATCACAAGAAAAGGATATACACTAGGTCTATCTGTAGCCTTGAAGATAGCAGGGTCTGCATGATTCTCACTGCTGACAACAGTTGAACCAATCATTCCTTCATACCCCATTCCGTATGTATACAAGGCTCCACCAGTACTCCAATGGCCCACATCCCATACTGCATGACTTTCCTACATCATCTGCTGTACACATGTGAGGTTAGAGTTCTGTGCATCAATCTTTGCATCAAGTATTTGCCTAACCTGATTTCCCAAAAAGGCTTCCTGACTCAAGATCCATCCTGCATATACAACTTACAAATTAATGATAATTAATAAATTATGCAATTTTCTTTTTCTTTTCATACTGTATTTCTATTAGTTGGATTGTTTGGTTAACCCTCTTTCACTTTGTCACTTTGTGCCAAACTCTAGTGGTATGCCTTACACTGCCCTCTGCCAACCCAGTGAGGAACCAGCTGTGAGAAAATTTTGCAGCTGAAATTTTGGCCCATGGCACTAAGAGGGTTAATATTTTGCTGGCCAAGATTTCTGGAGTTTCCTTGTAACAAGTACCTTGATGACTGATTCTTGAAGAGCCTTGTGCTCATCAGAGTAGAATCCATCTTGCAAGGATACGGCAGCTTGTTGCTGCTGCCACTGACCAGTCTTCAACTCCCTTTTGGCCACATTCCAAGCTGAGGGCACTAATCGCCTGCTCCCTCTTCCTAGCATTTTTTTTCCTACAAGGTATCTGGGTAAAAAACTGTTCCAAAGGTTGGGGCTGAAATGCCATCAGCATAAAAACAGTTACCTTGAAGAAAGGTATAAACCAATTCTGGCCTGAACTGATCCATATCAGGGAACACAGTTTCCTCAGGCATTTCGGAATGGGCACAATAAAAACACTGTAGGATTGAAACTATCTGAGTTGGGCAACAGGAGACACCAAATGTATTACTAGAAAAATTACTGACAACTATAAATATAAAATTGAAACAAGAAGAATTCATCCAAGTCCTTTGGGGGTGATGGTCTTGGTGCGCTCATTCACTGGTTCAGCATTGGCTTTTTGCAAGAGATTCTGGGAAAACCAAGTGGGTCTCTTCTTCTTCATCTCAATCACCCTCTGTTTCTCCTGTCAACAGAGACCAAAGAATTGTAATTTTTGTAAATGCATTCCTGTTGGAAATGAAGAACACCAGATTGATTGACAATCTCTATATTTTCTATAGGCCTAGTAGAGGCATTTCATATCTTAGAGCATTTGAGGTTCATTAGGTGACAGAGGATCATTGTGTCAAAGTGTCTTCATATTTTTCATTGAGCCAGCTTCTTAATGTAGAATTTTCCAAAGCATACTAGGAAAGTAGGTGTCAGTGGCCTTCAATATGTGGCAATAGGGAGCAGTCTTATGCATTTCCAATGCAGTGTAGACCAATAGCAACAAGTGTATGGTGAAAATGGACCCCCTATAGTTTTTGAGTCTAGAAATGCTCCCTTGGAGTAAGAATGAAAACATGCAAAACATGCAAGTGCACAGAGATCCTTCAATGTCAAATTTTTGTGGTGGATAATATGGTACAAGTGTTAATGACAGTGGGAATTTAATACAGTACATATGCCAGACTTTTCTTTTTGCACAAGTCAGTCAAACCATATCTCTGGAAAAAAATCCCAAACTGACCAGTCTTAATATTAACAGAAATATGAAAGACTCGTGGTACTGAAAATTTGGCTGTGTGACTTGAAGCAATTCAGAAGACATGAATATCACTTTATGAAGGTACCTTTCAAATTTTCATTTAGAAGCCAAACTAATCATTCATGAAATCTGAATCTTTGTAACTGAACTTGAAACCATAATTCAATCTTAACTTGATTTTCATTCAACACACTATGAATTTGAGTTGATATTCAAAAGCCATGGGCAAAGACCCATGTAAGAACAGACATATAAAAGAGATTAACTACACATATCATTGATGAAGCAAGGGTTCTCTGATGCTCCAATAATGCAACTGAAGCCATTCAAAATGTCCTCACTTTCCTACAATTTGTACAAGTGTTCACAAAATTATTTGGATGAACTTCAGACTTACAGGGGTGGATGACTTGTCTGGTTTTTCACTGTCATACAGAACAATGACATCCTTGTCAACAGGGTCCAGGCCCCATTCCTCTACCATCCGCTTTTGGATCTCTTTTGTCTCCTCCTTAACTCTCTCATAACAGTTAGCTGCAAGGCAATAACAGAAATGGAATAGGGTGGGGTCAACACACAAAAAATCCAAAAAGAATCAGAAAGTTGGACAATGAGATAAGGTTGATTAACATGTCTGACACTAATATACTATTTTTTGGATTGAATGGATTTGAATTAGTACCTCCTCTTTACCAAGGGAGGACACGCAAATTCAATCTGTAAATAGTGTGCTCATAGACCCCAACAGCATGCAATTGCTATAAATGCACATCAATGCTACACCACAGGAGTCACTGTGGGAAATATAAATTATTCCCATGCAGTGGAGCAGAGGAGATTTGTGGAGCACTTACGACATAGCCTTCCAGCCTCGTGATAATGTCCACAAGCATTGCAGACAAGTAGGTTGGCCTTGGGCCTCAAAAGCTTCCTGCCGGTGGGCCAATTCTCAGCACCATATCTGCGCATCATTCGCCGCTCGACTGACCTCCGGCGAACAGGCACAGCCCAGAGTATACCATCAGAGTCCTTCAAACCTCCATGTGGATCAGCTGGCATTGGTCCTGGCTCTGCATCAGCCACCCAAGGAATCATAGCCACTGTTCAAGAGATAAAATATAAAGGTTTCAATGTATAAATCTCAAGTTGGCATGTACCTGATATTTAGCATGACAAAACATAAAGTACAGGCATCTAAAGGCCCATCTAAAGACCTTTCAAATAGTCTCTAGGCTTGACAATGGTTTTGGAGGAACCAAAAAAGTAAATAGCAATCTCCTCTTCTCAATGCTGAACTTTACACTTCTAAAGCCTCTATACTTGGTCCAACTTATAAAAAAAAATTAACTCAATAACTAACAAGCCTGGTCATGCCTGAACCAGTAACATATGAAAATTGGTTTAAAACAGGGGTGTCAAACACATGGCCTGCGGGCCGGATCCAGCCTGCAGAGATGGTTCATCCGGCCCGCCATCTGCTCTTGAAATTTCCGCTTGGATCGACTGTCAGCACAAATTTCGGTGAAAAAGTATGGGTGCGGCCCGCAAGCATCTGGAGGATGAGGAATGCGACCCGCTGACCAATTTGAGTTTGACACCCCTGGTTTAAAACATTCCCAAAACCCCCTATCTTTAATCTTAAAAGCTTGCATGGCAATTCATGACATACAAACTTAAAAATTTGTTTTTTTTTTTTAAATTAGGTCTACAGGAGGACTTACAGAAAGCTAAGAACCAAGTCAATGGGACATGTTTTAAAATAGAGTATCTTATAATTAGCATCATGTCATGGATGTGGGCTCTGTTGACAGGTTAGCCAAAGATTACATTCATGTTACACCTAGAAGACCATTCAGCTTAACATAATGATAAACCTAAGCATCATTTTGGCCTTCACCTGACTGCTGGAGCTGCGGGAAGAGAGATCGCCAGAGGCATCTCTCAAAGTCCACAACCAGATCTAAGACTCTCTTCATGGCTAATAGTTATCTGAAACAACAAAACCAAGATGGGGGGGGGGCTTATTGTAGAAAGTGACTATGCTACATTCTTGACAAGGAAACGAAAGTGAGATGAGTTTTAGCCAAGGGTAACAGGTAAACATCTGACAATAATTACTGACTTCCATGATTGAGTAGTAAAGACAGCAGTGAAAAGACCCTAAATAGATGTGGGTATTAATAGTTTCAGCTAAGAGGTCAAATAAAACAGTTTAACTCAAATAAAAATAGCAATGTAATCAACTACAAAACTTTCAGAATCGTTGTCAAAAACTCATCAACTAACTTAGAATGCCAGAACTTATGAGAAATTACAAAAAAAAATTACCTAAGACTATCAATGTGGTTGTTACACCATAGTCCATGTCATTCAATTAGTTCATGAACTATGGCAGGCCTCTACAGGTGAAATGAAGAAAGTAGAATCATAAAGGATAAAACAGTAAAGATGTAGCAAGCACCAGTTACCAAAAATTACATTATTGTGAAACTTTAGTCAAAAAAGAAAACTCAAAATTCACAAGAGAATTCACTCGCAAAAGAAGTCAAAACTTCCAAGAACTTTCTTTCTGAAAATTTTGACATTCATTTTAGCTTCTAACCATACTACTCTGTGTGGCAGAGGCAGGAAATTTTCAGGAAGTGCAGGTAGTGTAATGACTTTAAGCTATTTAATAAATCTTACAAATCTCCAGCCCTACCAACCACTTGCTCATAAGGCATATCTACTGAAAAACATTATTGTGAAAAAAAAATCAAAGTACGGGGAAAAGGATTTCAAAAGATGCTGGGGCAGATATTTGTATAAAATACAGGTTCAAATTTTAATTTTAGAAAAAGTTCAAATTAAAGGGCCTAGTTTGGTTTCCTTTTCTGCAGGCCTTCTCAGGTGAACTGACTCCTAGTCATCACGTAGGATTAAGCCGTTACATTAAAGGCCTACGACTATTTACTACTTATGCGCCTGTTCAAGAACAGCTCGGAAATTCAACACCGTTCTGGATACAACACGAACCACGACCTCACAGCAAACCACGTGCAACCACAGCACGATAGGCGTACCTGTGAGCTAGAGAAACAAGTCTATGGGTCAGCGATTAGAACTACACCGCAAAACGGCATGTAAACCACGATGAAACATGACCCACAGAATGAAGAAGGCTGCCATACTGCGAGGCGCAGTGTTGCCCTCTTTCGCAGGGATGCTGCGACTTGGTTCAAGGATTCCCCAGTCTCGATTTACTCTGGGCGCGACTCCACAATTCAGTGAACTGTTTGGCATTGGAGGAGTCCACTGAAACAATTCGGTTGCTAGTTTTTGGTGCAATAGGAGCATTCCCTCTGGACTCGCAAAGGTTTCACATTGAAATGAAATGAAGAAACTTGGGATGGGGACAGCTTGGTCTTACTTAATTATTTATTTCATGATTCGCTGATTCCGCATTTTCCCCCCAATATAAACATTGGTTTTGTATTAAATGCCTCCATAACTAAATAGGGGCTAGGTAAATAGTGGGAGCCCTACATCACTAGCAATCGGAGCAAGATTTCCCTTGCTCCGATAAAAAAAAAGAAGCCTGCAATTTTGTACGAACGTCGCTGGAAACACACACTGCTAAAACCCCACATCAACTTTCACCTCGATCAAGGCAATGTTGCTTTGGTCATCGTCAGAGAATCAAAACAGTATCAGCCGCAGAGGCCAACGCAAGACAGTCGGAACAGCCGGCTTTCAACGTGGGAAGCAAAATGCTCTTTTCCGCGAGAAATGACAAAAAATGAGTTTGGATAGTGGATAGTGCCCAGGGGTGTTTAGATTCCAAAACCTTCTGTTCCAAGCTTCAGGACCGGCCTTGGCTATTTCGGCACCTATGCAAAGAGACTTCCAACGTCGCTCTCCCCTACCCCCTCCCCCTCCCCCTCCCTACTGTCCAAAAAGACACCGAAACGGAAGGCATTTCCAGTCTCTATAGTAAAATTGAGGGCGGCATCCATTATAGCTTCATTCATTCTAATTGCCGCCTCTGGTGAATCTCCATCCTGTGCGGGAGCACATGAAGCACATGCCTAAGGCCGGCCCTGCCAGGCTTAATTATACGTACAACATTCCCAATCCAATACTTGCATTCTTTCAACCGATCCTAGCTATGAACGGGGGGGGGGGGGGGGGGGGACCCCCTTTTCGGTGTCTTTTTGGACAGTAGGGAGGGGGAGGGGGGGGGGGGGGGGGGGTAACCACCTGTGTTTGAAGATGTGGGTATCGGCGACCGTAAGACCTACTCCACTGGATCAATTAGGATGATCCCACTCATGTTATTTAGGGAGTTTTGGGACCTCTTTTGAAGGTGTCGAATATATTAGCACCTTCCAGGAGTTCATGCAAAGGAAAAAATAGTGGAAATGTTGGTAATATGTATTTCACGAGTAATTGCAATTCCCTTGTTTTCCTCCTTTTTTTTTTACTGAGGGAAAAAATGTGAAGTAGAAGCGGAGAGGGCTTCCATCGCGTTTCTTTCTTGCACTGAATCCCAAAGATGATAGGCATGGTCACATTCGGCACCGTCACATTCGGCACCGTCACATTCGGCACCGTCACATTCGGCACCGTCACATTCGGCACCGTCACATTCGGCATGTCGTTTTCCTGCGAGCAAATGAATGTGAGCATTTCTTGTGAAACGAGCAAGGAGTCAGGACGAGACTGACCTCGCTCGATGCAATTTCTGATGTTGAGAATTGATGTCAGCGGTGAAGTACTTGATCAGGTACGTTGCGCCGTAAGTACTTTCAAAGTACTTTCCCCGGCAGGACCTTGGGAGTACTCGAGCAAACACGCGTCAACAAAGCAAACTTTGAGACGAAAACTCACCCACAAACTCCAAGTTGACATGCCCTTGTCGCCTCCAGAAATACCTCTCATCCTTTCCCATTCATATCTCGCTATCACACAAGGGAAGGATAGGGAAAACACGGGAAGACATAAAAAGAGGATCGAGGGAACGGCCAAGTTCTGTTTCCAGAGAGCAACCAACAACAGAAATAAAACCCAGAATTCCATGTTGTTTAGAGTTTTGATAGCCACCCAGCAATTACTGAGATAACCATTACAATTTTCCCCGAATGTCGAATTGGAAATTCATCCCATCCTCCCCAACGAAGAACGCCATGCAATCGAAACTCGGATCACTGATCGCCGAGCAACCCTGTCGAGCGGCCGCTCACCTCCACAGCGGCGGGAAGCCCTCCATCCCCCAGTCGCGTCGCCCCCGTCCCAGTCCGTGCCGACGTCCATCGACGCCGGATCCCCGAGGCATTCCACCCAGATGCATTTCTCGATTTCTTCCCATTCGCCGGATTTCAGGCAGGATGCGGTGAGCTTCTTCCCCGACTTCTCGAATTCCATTCCCCGAGGACACGAATAACCAACGTCGGAGCCCACGGCCCTCGATCCGTCCCAGATTCGAACGCCTCCAACAGGCGGATCGGGCGGATCAGAATGGCATTTGACGATTATGCAAATTTCATCGAGGGACTGCCAATTCCCACTCTCGAGACACTCCTTCCTAACTTCGACTGCCGTTCCATCGAACAATTGATGCCCCGGACAACGATAGGCGACCTCGAGACCAACGTGGCTCGAATGGCCATTCCAATCGTAAGACCCTCCTCTCGGGGGTGGAGGCGGACGCCCAAGGCATTCGAGCCAACTGCAGCTCTCGTTAAAAGCCTCCCACCGACCCGAGAGAACACACGATCTCGTCGCAGTACGACCTTCGGGGAACGCCATGCGATCCGGGCAAGAGTAGGTCACCTTCGTCCCAACTTCGACGGATCCATCCCAATGCAACGAAACGCCTTCGGGCGGTTTTGGCGGGGCCCCGTCGCACGGAACCGGACGGCACCGATGTCTCAACGGCTCCCAAAGCCTGTCATTCTGGCATTTCAACGTCAGCCGACCGTCGGCTAAGGGCGGATCGAACCGGAAATGCTCCTCGCATCTGTACGTCGAAGTGGAGCCTCGAACCGCATCGCTCCCTGGATCCCGAATCCTCAGTCCGTGTTCCATCGCAGCGGGCGGTTCTCCCTCGCAGACCCCGACGCACGCCTCCTTCAAGTCTTCCCATCTCCCTCCCAGTTGGCAAGTCTTCCTCACGGCGCGCATCGTCCCCTGGAAGAGTCTCTTGGGCCCGCACGAGTACTCGGCCACGGCGCCCACCTCATTGCTTCCATTCCAGACCCTGTTACCCCCCACGGGAGCTGCAGGTGGGTCGACGGAACAAGGTTTTGGCAGACATAATTCCTTCAGTTCCTCCCATGCTCCATTCGAGAGGCAACGCTTTGAAATACTGTGATTTCTCAAGGAAAAATCAAACGAGTAGTTTCCTCCACAAGTGAAATTCGCGATGCTGCCGACTTTTCTGCTGCCATCCCACAGTCGATTTCCATTCTCTGGTGGTGAGGGTGGATCTAACGGGCAATGAGTAAAGTGACAGGTTTCCTCGAGGCTCTCCCACTCCCCAGTCGTGAGGCATGACCTATTCGTCGAATTCCGCTCATCGTCGAAAACCTGGCCCTTGGGACAGAAGTAGGTGACGTTCGTCCCTGCCAAAGACGGTATTTTCCATTCTCTGGATCCACGGAGAGGGGCAGCCTCTGGTTCCTGCTTACACTCCGGTCGATGGCAACGGTCTTCCACGGGTAGCCACGTCCCAGAGTCTCCCATGCACTTACTCACCATCGTAGAAGCGTTGGACTTGGCGAAAATATGGTTCTGGACGCAAGAATATCTAACCAAAGTGCCGAATGCCTTGGACTTCCCATCCCAATCCGACAGAGACCCCTGAGGCGGATCGGGCGGATCACGGGAGCAGGCGACCCGATGACACCCGTCCAACGTCTCCCACTCTCCACTTTCCAAGCAACGCACGTGCTTCTCTGTCGATCCGTCTGGGAAGCTCTTCTCGGCCTCGCACTCGTACAAGACGCTGTCGCCGACCCGATGAGATACCCCCAGGGCGTCTATGTGCATGGTTCCGTTCACGTTGGGAGGACCCCGCAGACAATGCGAAGGAACGCACTCCCAAGGCACGAACTCCCATGTCATATCCGGTCGACACCGACTCCGGATCTCGACCACGTCCAGTCCATCCCCGCTCCTCGCATAGTCCCGATTCTGCAGTTGAGATTCCTCGACCGAGAATCGGAATCCCGCGAGACAAGAGAAGGTGCCCCCGTCCCCAAAGAACCTCTTCCTCTCGTCCCACACCAACTCCATATTCCGCCTCGGGGACGGAGGACTCCCGTGGCAATAGAACGGCACGCAATCCTCCACTTCGGACCAATACCTCGTGACTTCACAGACGGACTCCATCGTGGCATTCGGATCCCCAACCGAGAGGAAGGCATACCCCTCCACGCACTTGTACCTCGCTGTCGCATGGAACTTCCGGCTCCTCGGCTCCCACTCGACCAAGACGGCGTGGCTCACCGCCCTGGGCCCTGTATAACACTCGTGGATGCAGAAGATGCCATCGTGCTGCCACTGGCCCTGGATGCAGTGGAACGCGGGGGAGGCGCTGAAGTCGATGTCGCACTCGAATCGCAGGGTGTCACCGTCGATGGTGTCGAGGCAGGATGCGTCCGGCAACGACGGTGTCGGCTCTCCCGCCCCACACGCTGAAAGCATCAATTACGATTATATTTCCTGCACGATATGCAGTTCCCCATGCAAGAGCCACTCACCGTCGACGCACGCCGTCATGGAACGAATGTCGTATCCAATATTGCCGAAGCATTTGAAGACCTGCCGCTTCGTCCTCGGGCGAGTGCCCAGCCACACCCGACCGCAGTGGCAGTGCGCGTTCACGCCGGCTCCGTGGGGCGTGCTACCGAGCGGCCAGTGCCAGGTGTACGTCGCCATTTCGGGGAATTCCCCGCAGTCTGGGAATGACGTCATTTTTGCAGATTTTTGGATATTCGGCTGGGTGTCGTGCAGAAGGTGGGAAAGGGCTCATCGTTCACGTTTTCGTTAATTCCTGACGAAATTTTATGAGACTGGCGATTTCACATAAGTTTGTGAGTTCAACATGTTGAACATATTGCATATTGATAAATAGTTGAATATTATCGCTTTGTATCCATTCAATTAATGGGAGAGCCTTAACGATACTGAAATTTAAAAATGTTCGCTTCAAGAAATTCCTCCTTAAGAATTTACATATTACAACTTCGCTGGTATTAGAAGCGAGATTGACAGCCTGCTTTCTGGCTAATTGAGAACAACTGACAATCGTCGACGTGGAGTTGACAGAGAGCCCAGCGGAACGGTTGGGAGCAGTTGACGTCGCGGAATCCCACGTTGCCGGAAACGTTGAGAGCGGAACAGTGGCCGTTCTTGGGGTCGCTGGGGTGGCCTGGCGAGAACAGGTCACCCGGGATCGGGTGGCCATCCAGGAATTTCCAGAATTTCCGCAAGTCGTAGAGATCCGCCTTGGACAGATTCCCTTCTTTCCAGGGCTGCCTGCGAATGAAATTCGGTATTATCTTCTGGAATTTCTCGTTTTCGCCTTCATGTAGTCCGAAAGTTTAAATTAACTTTAAACGCATGAAAAAAACGTGGAAAATAATGTCATGCATTCTCTGGAACTTGAGCAGCAAATATTAAAATACTATTTAAAATAGTGCACACGTTGCACTATCCCGTCTGATTGGAAAATAACTTGGTACATTAATATTTAATTTAACCCCCCCCCCCACGAAACTCACAATATGTTGTATGGCAGGGGAGCGAGGCCGTCGTCCACGTGTTTCCGGATGGCTTGCGCCACCGATTCCAATTCCGTTCTGGTTGTCAATTCCGGCAACCCTGCTGCATCGAATCGTTGGTGACAGAAGGCTGCAGCTCCGAAGTTCCCATCGAGGGATTCGCCTTTCGGCTTCCCAAGCACGAAGCTCTTCTTCCCGACTTCGACGTACGGGTACACTGCAAGCCGAATCGATAGAAAGGCCTCGACCGCAATTCGATTGAAAAACGTGAAATTTGCTGAACAACCTTCCGCGCACGGAGTGAATCCCTTCGGAGTCCAGGCGAGATCTTCGGCGCAGGCGAGCGGAAGCTGGAGGGATTCGTTGTGGATGCAGTAGACCGTGGAGCCCACGGAATAACGATCGGGGAAGGCTGTGGCGTTCGAGTCGCCGGGCGGGGAGCATGCTAGGGTGAGAGATTAAAGGGCGAGATTAAGTTTTGTTCAATGCGGAATACGCTTGGGGTATTTCCTGCAATTGTGATTGATTTGAAAACTTGATAAACTTTGAAATATAGTTAGTTTCCTTTTATTCCATGATTTTTCATTTTGTCAGTGGAAGATGAACATTCAGCACCATGGACGAAGCGACCTCTGAATCTCTTTATTGCTTTATTGACCGTATCGTACGCCTCCATTCAAAAAGTCATAGCACGATAACAACTTTGTGATGCAAGGTTTTTCTCTTCAATTAGTATGTATATTAATGAAATAAGTAATAAGTATACATAAAATGTATGATTCCCATTGAGAACGGCTCACCTACGCCCCTCGAAACTCAAAGCGTAACTCGACGAGTCGGACGCACGCTCACCGGCAGCCGCGCGAGGAAAGCAGGTCGCAGGAACATCCCGCGGCGCCCATTCCCCGTCGTCCTGGCAGATCCACGTCGCCCGAGTTTCCCCAGAGGTGAAGGCGGAGTCCAGGCTGCATTCGTGGGTGAAGCGGCTGCCTGGGGGGTGCATCCCCTCGGGGTCGGTGCACGCTGGGACCTCCACCGCCTCGGCGCGGCGGGATGGGATCGGAGGGCAGGGTCGGCCTGGGTCTGCGGGGGAAGGAGGAGTCGGTGACAAGGCGTGGAGGGATCACCCCGGCCGTCCTCGTTGGAATTTCTGATTTCTCGTGCTGGAACCAAACTTTCCTGACTTTTCCGGACTTCATTCGGTGAGGAATGAATCCGTTCCATCAGAATTACTTCCCGCTCGGTTTAAGCTGATTTAAAAAAAAAAGAGAGATTTCTATTCGAAATAAAATTGCATGCTGTCGGCGTGTAGCCAAGCAGTATCACTATCATTGCAGAAACCGAGAAAAAGGACTGAGATGCAAGCTCTACGTCGCGGTCGGTCGTCTCACTTCTGACGCAAGAACGAAGATCCTCGAGGTCGTATTCCCATCCCAGGGATCCGAAGCATCGGGATGTCCGAAAGGGAGAAGGAGGGACGTCGGGAGGATCCCACGCCTTCCAGCAGGGACAGACGTAAGTCACGTGGTCTCCCAGGGAATGTTTCGTCCTTCCGTTCGACTCCAGCTTCACGTCTGGGTCCGGGGGTTCTTGTGGTTGAGGGCAGTCTAAGGGAACGGGACAGAAAAAATGATGCACCGTGAAATACGCTAAAATAAAATTAACGCTTCGTTCTGTCACAATCAGTCTCACCTGGTGTGCCACCCAGAACCCAACATTTAGAAAGTAATAGGAACGCCGGCAGGGGGCAGAAGGGGCAATCCTAAACAAACCAGAAACTCACCCGGAACAGTGGAATTGAATCTGCAGAGGAACCGCCTCGTCCTCGTGGAACGCCCGCAGGCCGCGTCGACCAGCGCGGCGCCCGGGAGGAACAGCAGGCACGGCTCCGCTCGACCGCCGTCGGGTCCCGGCTTCCCCCAGGCTCCTTCGGGCACGCCTGCCTCTGCGTTCCATCTCGCTCTCAGGGCCGAGACGCTCAGCCGGTTTCCGTTGGAGCTGGAATCGAGAAGGAACTCGTCGGGTGTTCGATTTTTCTTCTAAGATGCAACGATGCGTGTCTCAAATATGATGCAAGAAATTACATTCCTTGCAATGGAAGTTAGCGGATTTCTGAGCGATCTCGCACCGCTTGCAAGTAGGAAAACCATCGAAAATGAATCTGATCTCACTCTTTGACCGAGGAGACGCGACCGCCCAATCCGACATCCGCACCGGCCGACGAGACGAAACTCGCCACCTCCGTCCAACTCCCACGGAAGTCCCCGGGAACGGCGAGGCTTCCGCCGAGGACATCCCGGCAGAGCCTCTCTCCCTCCCACAGCGAGGCCTCGCTCCCGGCGTCCGCCAGGGCAAACACCTTCTTCCCGGCTGAAGATTTCAGCGTCAGCGTCCAGTTGGATGTCACTGCCCCTGTTGACAGGATTCCAGCGTTCAGGGCCGTTTTGAGTCAGGGGAAGTGGAATGGAGGCAATGTGGGCCTCGGGTCCAACTGAAGAGTTTCTTTTTCCTTTCAGGCGGTTTGGCCCTAAATCAGCCTCTGCAGCCATCGGATTGGTTCCGCTATGAATTTCCAGCGAGTTTCACAAGGGAATCCATTTTTCTGCTGGATTCAACCCCGAGACCGCAAGAAATCTTGTGTTGGGAGTTCCCAGCAAGTGAAATGTGGGCTGAAAGGCATCAAAATCTGTTTCGGAATTTGGAAATCAAATGGAAATTTGGTAAATTCATTTTCCATCTCCCTTTTTTTTGTTGCAAATAACTGGTCGAAGAAAACTGGTCTTTCTTCGATTCTAGAACAATATTGTTCTAGATTTGAAGAATTCTAGAAAATTTTTGTCCGAGTTTTCTGCGCCAGAACACCTGAAACCTAAGACGCTAAACGATATCGTGGAGGAAAATGAAGATGCAGATGCCGGAAGATCGGGATGCTGGAGTTTCCTTCATCGGGACTTACCGCAGGAAGGGCGAAAAGCGAGCAGGAAGAGAAGGAGGAATTCGTCTGGCCCCATTCGGCACGAGCTCAATCCGTCCAACCGCGCTTAATAATCGCGAATGATGGCTTCTGGCGGGAATGATGGCTTCTGGCGGAGGCGGGGACTCGCGGGAACCCCGCCTTCGCCGCGACATGATCGCCCGTGAAGGCTCGAGGCCTTGCGAATTTTCTTCGCAGTTTCATTTGGATTTGCAAAATTGACATTTTGGCATTTTAGAACAATCGATTGAATCGATCAGTCGAAAAGTTTTAAGATGCCATTGCCTCGAGGAAACTCGATTATCCCGATTATCCTTATAAACGATGTTCGGGTGACACTCCATCAACGGAAAAAATGCATTCCGGGAAATGAGGACGATTTGTCCACTTCTCGACCAATCCGTCAGACGCGGCGATAAATCAAACGCCGAATACGAAAAAGTCGCCTCTGGTTAATTGCCCGATGCAATCATTGCCTGCAAATTGCCGTCCGTCGTTGCTCGAGTCAGGAGCCACGCACCCCGACTGCGAAGAGCCGCGTTGCGACAACTTACGACCGTCGCAATCCGTCGCATCGGCGAGGACGTGGGCGTACTGCGACCGCAGCCATCTAATGCAAGTCGTGGAATCCTTGGATACTTAAATTCGAGGCTATTTTGGCGGAATGGCTTCGGCGGTAGATGCCAATCTTGAATCTCCAAGATATGATGAGAAATGTCTCGGAAATGTATCGACATCAATTATATTCCTGATCATTTTCTGCAGTTTCAATCCCCGAATCATAGCGCCTCGAGTCGAGTAGCACTTTCAGCTCTGATAAACCCGCGCCAGGCCTCTAGGAAAAAGAGGCAAAGAGCCAGTCGCTTTGTAGTCGGAAGGGGCAATCTTTCGCCCTAGAGGAACGCGGGGGACAATACCTTTCAAGGGCAGACACTTGGGAAATAACCTGTACGATCGGAGCGAATGTTTGAAATATTACGTCCCATCGGAATGTATATTCAAAAAGATTTGGTCCCCCCCTCCTGGCCCAAATATTGAGGGGACTAGACATTATGTTACACCGGGTCGCCATTCTGAAAAACCGAAATGAGTCGAATCGAGATGGCGCCAGCGACAGGGACCTCATCGCCTTCAAAGTCGGCGGTGGAGTGGTGGCTTTGGAGAAATTTGGCGTTGATTCGTGTCACCTCCCGTCTTTCTGGCAACGTGTAACTCCACTATGTAATTTCAAACATAGAAAATTCCTCAAACCCAAAATATGTTCTCAACAGTTACAATGAAGAAGGCCAAGGACTTACCCTTCGGTCGTGATCCGGTCGACGAAGACTGGTGGTGGTGAATGAGACCAAGTCGGAACTATCCTGGATTTCCGCTTCAACCTGCTTTTATACCCTCCCTTTCTTCTTCCAACGGTCGACCTTGGCACTCCCCCTTCCCACGCAGATATCCATCTCCCCTACTTCCGGCTCCCTTTCCACCTTCCCCCTTGGATTAGGAGCCCGATTAGGAGCCCGTTGGCTAACGAATTCTTTTCCTCTCATTTCTCACTCTCTCTTTAAAGCACGCTATGAGAGTTATGCACAACAGTGAATTTTTCCCTCAGCAGGGATATATGGTATTACAGCAGAAGTGTATAAATAAAGTATTGACAGCTTGCTCCAAGCAATCACCAAGGTGTTTAATGACCTTTTCAGAAAGAATAGGTTCTCGATGTCACGGAATGAGGAACTCATCCAGCCCATATATAAAGGGAAAGATTCTAGAGAAGATCCAAACAATTACAGAGGAGTGTCTTCATTACCTGTTCTTGGGAAAATATTCACCAGGGAGCCGAATAATAGAATCTACTCCATGGCAGAGAGGGAAGGAAAATTCTGAAAATTTCAAGCTGGATTCCGGAAACAGTACAGTATCCTCGACCAAGTATTTGCATTACTGGTAGAAAAGCACCTCACTCAGGAGAAAGGTATCTCATATACTTGCTTTGTAGGTCAGAAGGCATTTAAACACAACCTTTAGGGTGAAGATAGAAAGGAAGGAGGCATCTGAAGCTTTTCAGAATAGTATTGGGGTTAAACAGGGCTGTCGGCTCTCCCCGGTTTTATTTAACTTATATATTAATGATGTAGAAGAAGAGATTTGTCAGTCAGACACCATGCACCATAACCTGCATGGGGTGGAAATCCCTTAATGCATCCCTTAATCCCTTAATCCCTTAATGCTGCTTAATGCAGATGACTCGGTCCTACTGCCTCAAACTAAGGACTGCTTCAAATTCTGGAGAACTTTTGCGACAAACGGAAGCTGGAAGCAAATATCGCAAAAAAAAAGGTTCTGGTCTTTCGGAAAAGAGGAGCAATAAGTAGAACAGAGTATTACAGAAATTAGAAGTTGCTCCTGATGATTCTTCTTGATGAAGTTGAGTCTTCTATAAATTGGAATCAGACGCCGAAATATTATTTTTGATTTCACCAAATACGATTGCACAAAATTTTGCATGAGCCCAAATTCATCAAACTCATGAAACTTTCAGGGAATGGATTCTTCATTTCTGGTTAGACCTGTGTTAGTAAGATCTTATCTAATTGGTGTCTTAATTAGACACGGATATTATTAGTGCTGCGTAGGTGGATTCCGCGATTTAATCGCCTAAGGCAGGGGTCGGGAGCATTTTTGGCCTATGTGAGCCCTATTAAGATTGGGCTGAGTGCTTGTGAGTGAAAGATTTTTCAGAACAACAAAAATATTCATGAAATTGGCAATGAACATATGCATTCCTTAATATATGAGAAAATGAGGAACAACCCTAATTTTCAGCCATGACTCAATGAGCCAAACTTTTCGGCTCGTGAGCCAAATTTGGCTCATGAGCCATAGGTTCCCGACCTAAGGCAATCGAGTTCGGCCGATGGGGCGCGATCGATCAATGGAGACCGATCAATGCACGCGGGATGCGAACCTTTTTTTTGCAAAATCAGAGAGCTGTTCCTTTCTTTATTTTATTCATTTATTTATTTATTATTATTTTTTTAATAGAGGGAATGCAATTCCCAACTTGAGGAGAAAAAAAATGGAGGAAATAAATAATTAGGAGGTCTTCCAAGAAAAGTTCTCAATCGAAAACCGCAAAGCCACACCTCAATAGCAAATTTTCTCATGAAAAAAAGCACATCAAAAGTTTGACTGAAATAAAAATAGCTGCTTTGAGCTGCAGGATTTGTAGATAATAATAAAAAATAATTTATTACGTTTATAAGAAGTTCTTTCTCCCCTCCCCCCATTTTCACATCGGGAAATTCTTGCATACAAAACACGCGGTAACAAGGCAATACAAGAGCCTTGACAAAAAAAAGCTGATGCATGGCAGACAGGTATTTTCGCTTTGGTTTAAGTACCACCAGACGTAGATTTTGCAGGATTAACTAAATACTGCAGCATATTTTGGAAACCTACAACTCAGTGTAAGTTTACCCTTTCTGAGGGCTCAGAACCGGGAGAATTCCTGATATATCGATGGAATATCTCATTATTAAATGTATTATTATTATTGTGTGCATATTCGGAGGAATTCTTTCTTCTCCTTCGTCCAGGACGTTAAGATTAGTTGGGGAAATGTTGATCAGTCGAGATTAGGATTAGTCCGGAGAAAAATAGGGACAAAATTTCTCCAGGGAAAACTCCGAGTAATCTCGTAATAGAAGTAGAAATAAGATTTTTTGTGAAGCTGCCAACGCGGTTTTCGGATTGTCTCAGCCCGTGCATCCGGATATTGTCGGATATTGCCGGATATTGCCGGATATTGCCGGATATTGCCGGATATTGCCAGATTTTGCCGGATATTGGATAAAAGTCGCATGTGCGTTCCTCCCACCCGGGTCATGAAACATTCATGCATTAGACGCATCATCGATCACACTCTTGGGAGAACGCGAAAGGCAGAATGAGGATGTGTGGACATAAGCAGATGACAAATGGAAGAAAGAAAAGCACCGGGAAATGACTCGATGAACGAGTTCCACGAAACTCACTGTCAAAGGATATAAGAGCAGGCGCATATTCTCCCGCGGAATCGCAACGGACATCCCCGCACTTTCTAGGATCTCCGAGATCGAGGAATCGGAAGTTCGTCCGGACCTCCCTCGGCTTCCCGTCCCAGTCGGAGCCGATGTCGCTAGCCGCTGCAAGCCGGGGGTCGCCGACGCACTCCGTGAAAGTGCAATTCGCGAGAGGGGTTCCCATTCTCCCGTCGGGAGGCAGGACATGGTGAGGTCTTTCCCCGATCTCTCAAGCTCCATCCCAGAAGAACACGAATAGCTGGCACGGGAGCCTATGACTCTGGATCCATTCCAGACCCTCGCACCTCCCAGAGGGGGGACAGGTGGATCGGAATTGCATTCCACTGATATGCACACGTCATCCAGAGGCTGCCAACGTCCATCAACGTACACGCTGTACAGTTGAGAGGGGTTTCACTCAGAGAAAATGCGGTTTTCCGAACAGGTCCCTTACGGAAATGTCCTATAGGAAACATATAGTTGTTTCTTATAGGAAACCTATAGCCTTTCCTATAGGTTTTTGAACCACGAAAAACCTATAGGATCCTTTAGAATCCTATAGGATCCCTATAGAGTCTTATAGGTCTCGTGACCTATAGGATAGGATATTTTGGGTTTCGAAACCCAGGCATTACGACGGAAAAGGCGACCGGGGTTAATGTTGGCACAGCATTTCGGGGTAAATCAAAAACCGATTTGGGGGTTTTCCATGGTAGGGAGACATTCATTATCAATACCAGTACTGCGGGGTCTGCATAATTTATGGCCCCTCCCCGCATATGTCGCTGGATTGCACGTCTACTTCCTTCGGTAGAGAGAAGTAGTATTATTTTCTCGACCTAAGGAAATAAAAGACAGAACCTAGGAGCACGACTCTATACTGAAACTCCATTTGAATAGAACCTATAGAAACCATTTGAATAGAACATAGTTTCGTAAGGGGTTTTCAAAAGGAATAAGGGCGTATTTCTTCACGGGACTCAATGATTCTATCTGGAAGATAGGGATGACAAATAAGGAACTGTCGAAGTTTATTGATTGCTACAATGAGGCAAGGCGAGACATTTAGGGACGTACAAAACTCTCTTGTGAGAGATGA